ATCTATCTATCTATCTATCTATCTATCTATCTATCTATCTATCTATCATCTATCTATCAAATACAAAAGGGTGGGTAGAAATGTTTGGACCCCACAAGCAGGCCATTGATTAGTGAACTGACCTTCCTGGAAAGATTGGAACGCACTGATTTGGCCCCCTCGCATCTCCTACCTAAGGACACTAGGGTCCAAGTTCTAAGAGATAGAATTGGAGCTTGTGAAAGAGCCATGCAGGAAGCTGTAAATGAAATTAGTATCGCATATGGAAAATAATTTGAACAATACTGTAGAAATAGATATTCAGAAGAGTCCAGTAAACTGGATGAAGAGATTCTGTAGAGTTAGACAAGCTAAAAATGCTAACATTAGCCTGACCTGTTTAGCACCTTTCTGTCCTCATTCTCATGCTGTAAGCACAAGTTTATGCCCAGATGACCTGTGATGTGGAGGTTTTGCTAAGAGTTAAAAGTTAATGTATAACTTGCTTCTGCAGACACCGAAGTGTGACTTTATGTGTGTTTTGTGTTTTCTAGTGACATACTTACATGGGGTGTTTTGGGAAAAATAATGGGTTTGAAGAAAATAATGAAAAGGCTTTTGATTATGTATTGTATAATAAGGAAGTGTGTAACCAATAAAAAAAGACTGAGGTGAACTCAGAGACAGAACCTGAAAGCTGTCTCTGAGCACAGCTTCCGAACAACAATGAGTTACCTGTCAATTTGCACCTGGATCTTTGCCTGAGACTCTTCATTTTGTGCTGATCTAATATATCTGGTCTTAAGACCTTCGAAACAACTGAGGCTGATCCTGGGCAATTTAGTTAAATAAGATTATGGTTCTGAGGGGAAAATATAACAAGGGTCAACAATCTGGTCAAACAGTATGACGTCTTCTTTATTTTGTTTGTACTTGCATACTCATATGGACAAAAGACCTATGAATTTAAACAATAAGGTAATCCTTTCAGATTTCACTGTTCTCTTCAATTACATGAAATAACTCATCCAGGTATAAAACTTTATGGGTGTATATTAGTACCTTTCTGTTACTGTGATAAAACACAATGTCTAAGACACTTACAAAAGAGGTAAATCAGGCTAATGTTTCCAGAAGGGTATGAGTGCCACCTACACCCAGCTCAGGGAGGCAAAACACAATCCATAATGAGAGTCCTTGCTCTGGGAGGAAAACAGAAGTCTGGCTCTGTTTCTGTGCTTCCGAGTCTCTTGAATACCCAGGTGCCACTGGCGTAGTGCTGGGAGTCGGGAATGAGGATGCGAGGTTCACAGTTCCCTCAGGTCATGTCAGGCACGAAGGGGACGATAGAGCCTGGGATGGGCCAGAGTCCAGTTTGGTTCCCAATGAGTGTGGACAATACAGAGGGCCTGGGAGAGAGAAGGCCTTCTCTGGGAGATTTAGGCATGTCTCTTTATGATGGAGGCCTCCCCCTGCAGTGATCCTTGATGAAGAGACAGTCCTTGCTTGTTCAAATTGTTGTTTTTTTTTGTTTTTTGTTTTGGGTGGTGGATGTGAATATACCCCTTACTCAGGGTGAACCAGGGATTAAATACCTTTTGCAGGAAGGGATGTCCAGGATGGGGAACTCATTAACTGAATACTTGGGGCCTATCTAGATACCTCATTAGCATGGGGAACTCCAGGTTCTATGTGACTGATTGCCATGGTCCTATCAGTGGAATGGCAGTGATTACTTGTTCCAGACCATTTAGAGGCAGGCAGAGAGTGGCCACACTCCTACCTTTCTCAATTCTGAGATTTACAGGGTTTGGGCTCACTCAACCTTACCAGTTCTTCTGTCTGGTGGCATGGTCCACTTACCCCCACAGTGCCTGGATACAAAATTAACTCAAAGAAATCAGTAGCCCTCCTTTATATAAATGATAAATGGGCTGAGAAAGAAGCTAGGGAGATAACACCCTTCACAGTAACCACAAACAATATGAAATATCTTGGAGTAACTCTTTCCAAGGAAGTGAAAGACTTGTATGATAACTTCAAGTTGTGTTAGGGTTATGGTTAGGTGAGGGTTTGGATTAGGTTTTGGGTAAGGAGTTAGGGAAAGACTCACTGGAGACCTGAGATGGGGGAGGCTAAGGAGAGTATACGCCAGTGACCCAAGCTGAGATTCCTACCAGCAGGGGATATGGAGACTGAAGGGGCCACCTCCTGTAGTGAGGTGGGACTGCCAAAGGAGGGAGGGTGTCATCAACCCACCCACCAAACTTTCAACCCAGAATCTGCCATGCCTACAAGATGTACAGGGATAAAGATGGAGCAGAACTGAGAAGAGAAGTAGAAAGAATCCTCCATCTCTAACCAAGAAACTTTCTTAAATTGATAATTTACATAGGGAAAATTATTTCTCTCCAAAGGAGTCTCTGGGTTTACAAAACACTTAAGTGCATGCCCTAATGCAAAATGAACTCTGCGGTATTTTTGAAGACTTGATCAGCTCTACTGGTGGCTAATCATCTGTTGACTATTCTTATACTCAGAATTATTTACTACTTCTTCATAGCCTTTCTTTTCATGGTGTATATCAAAAAAAAAAAAAAAAACCTGTTAACATACCCCTAGAACACAAGATCAAGGATATCAGGCTCAACCTAGAATGATTGTTCTAATTGACCATTAACTTGTCCCAAGCCTGTTTTTTTTCTTGCTACTACAGATACGTATGTGCTTGTAAGGTGTGAATGCTCACTCTACTCCATTCTCTAAGTTATGAAGCTCTTGCCATTCTATGAGGAAGGAGCACATTCTATTCTTCATTCTACCTTCAAACTTTCTATCAACGACTCTAATTTTCCAAAATTATTTAAATCAATCTAACTTCCAGAAAAACTACTTAAATCAGGAATTTCATAAAATGATTAATTCATCTAAATAGCATCATCCCATGAAAGTTCATCTTCATTTTGATCTGTGGAAACTTGACCAACAGAATGGGCTATCACCCAGAAAGTAATGACATCACTATAACCACTGAGGATCCCTCAGTGTCCGCTCACAAAGCCAGATAAGTAGGGAATACAGCAATGACAAGCATGACAAGCCACATCAATAGCAAGAAGTAATTCTGAGACAAAGCTCCTGGGGTCATTCTCTCCAGGGTACACCCACTACAGGTACTCCAGTTGTTTGCCAAATCTTCAAAACACTCAAAGGTTAGCATTATGCCATTCAGGTAATAAAACCTTTTCCAGAGGATGGATAGGCAAGGCAATGCCCTGAACCACTATCCCATAACAAATAGTGAGATTACAAAGGAGACCTGGTTGAAGCACTCAAAAAGTCTGTTTTATCTGTTCTAAGCAAGTAACAGGTGATCCCAGAAGTACACAACTAAGAAGTCATTGTAGTTGAGTGAACATAAGCATGATCTAACACATCATGTAAAGGTCCCATCTATTTGTATCAGGATCAGGGTGGGGAGAAGCAAGAGAGAAGGCCAGGAGAATGAACGTACATTTGTAGCTGGTAGAAGAGGGAGATTTGTAGTCATCTCTAGGACTTGCCAGAGACCTGGGATGGGGGAGGCTCCCAGCATTCAATTCAGGAGAACTCAACTGAAATGCATAGCAGTGGGAATATGGAACCTGAAGAAGCCCCCTCCTGTAACCAGGTAAAACCACCAGTGGAGAAATAAGAGCACCAACCCACCTGCAAAACTTTTGACTCAAAATGAGTCCCAACTAAAAGAAATGCAGTGACAAAGATGGAGCAGAGACTGAAGGAATGGCCAAACAATAATCAGCCCAATCCATGGGTAAGCACCAATGCCTGATACTGAAAGTTTGAAAAACATTAGTAATAAAAAATTTCAGTTCCCCAGGAAGTGTACTCAGCTTTTTAGAAGGAACCTCTGACAATGGGCCTTTAGTCAATGATGCCCCTGAATTAGGGAAGATAATTCTGGAGATGAGTCAGCTCCTGGAACATCTAGCTAGAGGAGATAACACGGCTAGAACTGAGCTGGTTTCCAAAATTTTTCAGTGTCTTACCAAGTATAGTGAAACTAATATAGCAGCCAATTAAAAAAACAAACAAACAAACAAAAATCCCTCTACTAATGTCACTGCTTTTCCTTCTACCAATCACCAGAGACTTAGCCACCAGCCAAAGAGCATACATGGGCTGGATGGAGGCTCCAAGCACGTATGTAGCAGTAGAGGTCATAAAACTTTTCTGGAAAATTCTCCTAGCCGTGCATAAAAGGGGACCTGCAAGCCATTCAAGAGGTTGCCATTTTGATGCTGGTAATTTCTGCAGAATAAATATTCTTTGCTTTTGCATACTATTGAGTCTGGGGTATTCCTTAAGCAATTCTTGGACCCTAACAACACTATCAATGATTCACTGTTTTGCGTGCAGACAAGAGTGTAGAATAACTGTCCTCTGACTCTACCCAGCAGCTGACTGAAACAGATGCAGACCCACAGCCAAACATTGGACCTAGGAGATTCTTATGGAAAAGTTGGGAGGATTGAGGTCCCTGAAGGGGATAGAGACTCCACAGAAGGACCAGCAAAGTCAACTAAGGTGGAGCCTTGGGCACTCTCAGAGGCTTAGTCATCAACCAAAGAGCATACATGGACTGGATCAAGGTCCCAGGCACATATGTAGCAGATGTGGAGCTCAGTCTTCATGTGGGTCCCACAACATCTGTAGTGTGTGTTGGGGGCTGTTAGGGGGAGGTGTCCATAAAGCTGATGCTTTAATGTAGAATTTGTTCCTTTAACTGGGCTGCTTTGCCTGGCCTTGGTGGGAAAGGATGCACCTAACCATGCAGAGACTTGATGTGACTGGGTAGAGATACCCATGGAGACCTCCACTCTCAGAGGAGGAGAGGGGTGGTGTGGGGAAGGAACCAGGAAAGTGGGCACTGATTGGGATGTAAAATGAATAAATTTTTTTTAAAAAAATTCCATTTAATCATTACTGACAATCAATTCTTT